CCCCACAGGACGCTGGGCCACTGGCCGAGCACAGCAGTGGCCACACTGCCTGTGGTTGGCGCCGAGGCTGGCTCGGCCCTGCCGGCTACCTCAGTCAGACTAGATGGCCAGGGCTGCGGGTGACGCGGACCCAGTCTCAGGACACAGAGGAGGCCGGGGAGCAAGTGGGGTCACAGCAGCAGCCTGCACGGCCTGGTGCCTGCTCCGGGGAGCGCACCCCAGCTCCCGCCCCGGGGACCCGGAGGCCGGTGGCTCAGACTGTGTGGGCTGGGCATCCAGAGTTTTGTTTCCCAAAATAAAACAAGGTTAAATTACCACTCATTTCATTTTTAAATTCATCGGAATCTGCGTTGCCAGCCCTCCCACACTCTGCAGCCACAGCCCCACAGAATGCCCTGGGCCGCATCCTCGCCACCACCTGCAGCCCTGGGCCTAGGAGAGGGGAGGAAGGCGGCACCCTCCTCCCTCCCAGCGCTCCCACCTGTACTCCTCGCCCTCCAGCAGCTTCCTGTAGGTGGCGATCTCCATGTCCAGGGCCAGCTTGACGTTCATCAGCTCCTGGTAGTCGCGCAGCAGCTTGGCCAGGTCCTCCCGGGCCTGCTGCAGGGCCTCCTCCAGCCCGGTGAGCTTGCCCTGGGCGTCCTTGAGGGCGTGATCTCCCCTCTGCTCGGCGTCGGCGATGGCGTCCTGCACACTCTTACACTGGAGGAGAAGGAGAGAGGCTGCTGTTCGTAGGGACAGAGGAGCCGGCCAGGCCAGGGGGAGAGGGGGTCATGGACAGCAGGCCACAGAAAGCCGGATCACTGGACTTCCGCCAGTCCCAAGCACCAGTGCTAAGAGTTGCTGCTGCCCCGGGCATCGTGTTCCCAAACCACCTTTGACTTGGGGCTCCAGGATCCTCCCCACAGTGACCGTGGATCCTCACTACACGGGGCCAGAGTCTGTCCCCCATTTGACAGTTAGAAAAACACTTCTCAGAACTTCTGCTGCGATCGAGTTGACTCTCTGCCCACTTCCAAGCTAATGGCCCACCCCAGGCCGACCCCAGCAACGCTTACTGCCCCTCCATGCCACACCTGGCCGGGCTGCGAGGCCCATCTGAGCACAGGTGAGAGACGACACCTGCAGCGCTGTGGTCCCGGCCTCTGGCTTTATCTGTCCATTGTCCCCTTCACCCACGTACGTTGTCCAAAAGGGCACAAGATCCCCCCCACCACCGCACTGGTCCTTACTTTACAGTATCTCTTAGCTACTCTAGCAGTTGTCATGTAAAACTCAAAAGAATTTGGGATCAACACATGCTCAGTGAGGACTTCTCAGCCTCTTGGTCCTCTTTCACACACACCCAACACTCAGCCCTGCACCCCCAAGCCCACGCAGGCAGCAGGGCTGGCCCGCCCCGAGGCATACCCACCTGCTTCTTCACGTGGGCGATCTCGCCTTGCAGCCGCTGGATCATGCGGTTCAGCTCGCTGATCTCCATCTTGACCTCCTTCAGGCTGTCCCCGTGTTTCACAGCGGTGACCTGGAGCTCCTCATACTGCATGGGAAGAAGGTTGGAGGCGGCTGGGGGCGGCTGGACGGCGCATCCACAGGAGGTGGGAAACGATCTCACAGCCCCGACTTGGTGCCACTTGCAACCGAGGGCAGGTGGGCCCCTGTGGACACGCCTGGGAATGGCGCCCAGCTCCCCCGGCCCGAACACCAGGAATCTCACTGCACGGTCCCTGGCTGCGGTACAGCCCAGCTGGTGAGGGAGGGCGGCTCTGGGCTCTCCTGGGACTCACCTTGCTGTGGTACAGGGCCTCGGCTTCGGTCTTGCTCCTCTCGGCGATCTCCTCATACTGGGACTGTACTTCGGCGATGATGCTGTCCAGGTCCAGGGAGCGGTTGTTGTCCATGGACAGGATGACATTGGTGTCGGTGACGTTCTGTTGCAGCTGGGACAGCTCCTGCAACACAGGGGGGTTTGGCCCTGCTCCCTGCCCGAGCTCGGGCGGTCAGGAGGCATCACCACCCGGCGGGAATGCACAAATTTGGACTAAGCAGGTCCTAGGTAGGACTTGAGCGATAAGTCCACCACTCCCAGGCCTCTGCCAAGGTTGCAGAATTATGGCAGAGGAGTCTGGGATCTGAGCTTGCCAGTCAGCATCGTCGGAGCAGTTCTGACAAGTGCCCAGAAAGAAGCCAACTAGGAAGGGCTGTTCTTGGGGGCCGTGGGGTGGGGTAGAAGAGGGGGACAGGGTCTAACTTACCGCATCAAAGAGGATCTTCAGGAACTCAAGTTCCTGGTTCATCACGTCCACCTTGGACTGCAGCTCTACCTTGGTCATGTAGGCGTTGTCCACGTCCTTCGGGAAGGTCAGGATGAAGCTGGTACCCCAGCCCAGCACCCCCGCCTCGTGCCGCTTGAGGGCCCCATCCTCTCTGCCACTCTCCCCCAGGCTAGCTCCTCCTCATCCCTGCTAGCTGCTCCCCAACATCTCAGGCACTCGAGGGGGGCCACACCCCTACAGGACAATGGGCCTTGGCTGGCGCTCCATGGCACGTGCTTGCCCCCCAAGGCCTTGAGAGTTCTGAGTTTGACCATCCTCAACTCTCTGGCCCCACCCCTCCTGATTTCTCTGCCTTTTACACCAACGCTCCTGCGGCAACCACGCGGAGACCCCATCCTCTGCTGGCAGGCCCGCACCTTTGCCAGTACAAATGACAGCATCTTTGTGCAGCATCCTGAGGGACACCCAGGCCTTCCTCCACTTTTAAAATAACCAAGGGATTGCTGTGTGTGTCTTGCATGCAGCAGGTTGCTGCTTGGAGAGGCGCTAACACCCTAGCCGAGCATCTCCAGAAGCTTGAGTTGCGCAGACTGGTTTCCAAGAGAACCAACTCGAGACCCCCACACCTTTTGCCTGGCTGCTGCTGCTCTGGCTAGGAGCTGCAGTCCGTTCGGGCCTGCAGGCGTCTGAATGGCCCCCGCCCCCAAACTCCCAGCCTCTTGCTCACCTTTTTGAGTGTCACAAAATCGTTCTCAGAACATGTGCGTTTGTTGATCTCATCCTCGTACCTGTTGGGACAGAGCCAGGGCTGTGAGCTGATTCCAGCTGACTTTTTTCTTTCCTCTTTCCTACTGCAGTCACTGAAAATGCTCTAGTCTCGGGGAAGATTAAACAATTTTCTATTCAAACAGAAACTATTGGGGGCTGCTTTTCTATCAATTGACTCTCCATCTTGTAGAAAAGGTGACCTCTAAAGCCCTAAGTGTCTTCCTGACAAAGACACAAGTGTGGGTCTCCCTCAGCCCCACAAATGCAGTGGAGAGATGAAGGACTCCCGAGGGCGCTGGGGGGCTATTATCCCTTTCTGTCTCCACTGTTTCTCCTGCCACCTACTTCTTCTTAAAATCTTCAACAAGATCCTGCATGTTGCTCAGCTCGGAATTTTGTGACGTTCTTTCTGCAATGAGTGAATCCACGTATTTCTTCAGCTGGGCGATGTAGGCTTGAAACAGAGGGTCCAGGTTGGTGGAGCGGGTGCCGACATCCATTTGCTGCAGCAGCTCCCACTTGGTCTGCAGCACCTGGTTCTGCTGCTCCAGGAACCGCACCTGCATGACGGAAAGGCAAGCTCATGAGCTCAGGGAGCCCCGTGTCCCCAGCAGGGGCCCCCTCCTCGCCGGCATCCATGCTGACACAGCTATGCACACAGAGAAGGCCACTCGGCCTCATCCTCCCAGCTGGACCGGATCAGAGCTTCTGAGCTCCAGGCCTCCAGCCTTGGAAGGTTCCAGAAGCGACTAGTGCTACAGCCTGCAGGCTCCCTGCAGAGAAAGCGGCTCACTTCCCATTGCTTAGTTCCCAGCAGGTTTTGACTCCCAACACTCCAGGCTCTGTCCCTCCCCCGCCCTAGCTGAGTTCCCAGCAAAGGTCTCATAAATTCTGGGGAAAACTAGAAGCAGGCACCCACGGGCTCCGCTCCTGAAGGTGCTGAGCCTGGAAGCAGTGGAGGGCAGGGCTCGTCGGCCTGTTTTTTAAGAGGCTTGTAAATTCCTTAGTCAGGCTCATCTGCCTGGACTGGGAGAGAGTCCTGTCACACTGTAGGGTGACACCAATAAAGACTTTATGGGTCACAAAACTGAGAATGCTGCTCTTGAAGGCAGAAATTCCATGCATCCCCGAACAGACATTTCAGGTTCAACTTCCCAGAAGCGAATAGAGGCATCCCTGCTAGGGAAGGAAAAACCATCTCAGAAGACGTTTTGCCAGCGCCTTTCAAAACCTGCCGCCACGTGGCCTGACCTAGCCTGGCCGTCCTTGACTATCTCCATTTCTCTATTGCAGAATTTTCCATAAACACTGTTTCAGGGAACAATGAAAGCCAGGGCGCCAGTGTCTGCTAACCGCAAGCTGATTTTCCCTGCCTGGATCTTGCCCGACACCCAGGCTGGTTATGACTCCTTAGAAGGCTCCGGAAAGAATGAATCTCTGGCATTTGCCTCTCAGTCAGCCCTGGAAGTAGGGCATCTCCGCTCCAGCCTCGCCAGCTCCCATGACTCACCTTGTCAATGAAGGAGGCAAATTTGTTGTTGAGCGTTTTGATCTGCTCCCGCTCCTGGGTCTTCACATTCTGGATCTCGGGGTCAATTTTCACGTTCAGCGGCTGCAGGAGGCTCTGGTTGATGGACACTTCGTGGATGCCGCCACCAGGAAATCCTCCAGGCCCGGATCCCCCAGGACCTCCAAAACGGCCTCCACCAAATCCGCCGCCACCAAAACCACCACCGCCGAAGCCACCGAGGCCTCCACCGAAGCCACCACCAATGCCGCCGCCGATGCCACCTCCGATGCCACCTCCGATGCCACCTCCTATGCCGCCGCCGAAGCCGCCACCGATGCCGCCGCCGAAGCCGCCGCCGAAGCCGCCGCCTCTGCCCCCAAATCCACCAGAGCTGCCACCTCCTCCAGCCACGCTCATGGAGATGCTCCTGCTCCCGCCGAGGCCCACGAGACTCCGGCTGCCAAAGCCCCCTCCGCCGCAGCCGCCGCCGCCGCCGCCGCCGCCGCCATGGCGGCTCAGGCACGAGAAGCTGGAGCCGGACCTGCGGCTCCCACCAGAGACCACCGCTGAGCCACTGCTGAAGCTCCGGAATCCACCGCCCCCGCCGCCGCTGCCTCGTCCCCTGGGTTTGCACGACATCTGACAACTCATGGCGCCTTGGCTCGAGGAGACACTGGCAGGTTCCGGAGGAGAGTCAGTGCTGAGCAGACCGGCGGTGTGGCTGGGACGCCGGCAGGGTCCCTTTTATACCGCTCGCTAGGAGTCGGTGTGCATGGGTGTGGGCCACTTAGGCTGGGTTTGGTCTGCCTGGAAGCTACTCCTGGTGAGTGATTATCAAGCTAATAGCCATTAAAAATTTACTAATCAGCTCCATCCCAAAACTTGCTTTGATTGCAAACCCGTCCTGTTTATCTGGGCATCTCTCATGCAATTTGATTTTTGTAAAATCATCAGAAGGAGAGATCAGGATGAGGGTTTCTCAACCTGGAAAAAGGACCTTCTCCAGAATGCTGATGCCTGCACTGGTCCAAACCAAGGGAGCTTGTCGCCGCCAGGACCTGTGGCCTCTTGCACCCCAGTCCAGCTGATGAAAGAGCAGACGTGTTTAGCGATGGGGAGCCCTCAAAGGAAGCGCCAGTTTCTCTTTGCTTTCCCTCTGTATCAGGAAGTTTCCACTAATGCATTGGGGACGCACAAATTTGAGGTGGCCCGACAGGCACCTGCTTGCAGAAAGAGGCAGACTTAAGACACTGTACAAGATTATTCTTGACTCTTCAAATTTCAAACTATCTTGACTCTCCTGCCTGGGGACCACCCCAGAAATGCACGTTAGCCAGGCACCAAAGAAAGAATTTTCTTTCCTGTAACCAGGAGAATTTATAAGGGTCAAATCTGTCACAAAAACTCCGGGGGTGAGAGGAAAAAGCTTCTCTGTTCCTGGGCTTTGTCTCATCCTGGGCACCAAACACCACACAAAAATCTACAACAGCTCGCACAGCTCCCAGGGTGTGCTGGTCTAGACTGTCCACAGTTGTCCTCTGCAGGTGTGCTCAACAGTTAGGAGCTCTGGCTGCCCAGTGATACCCAGAGGTGGATGAATATCAGTTTCCAGAACCTAAAACAAAGTGTCTCACACCTGAAACAGTGTCTTTCCTCTGTCCCTGGAGCCAAGTGTGTGGGAGAGGAACCGCTGACCGCTGGGACTGACATGGTTTTAAAATAAGACGCTCTGGATGCAAGTCTCAATTCGACCACTTACTAGCTCTGTGGCTGGGCTATAAAGGGGAAAATCTTGTCAAGTGTTTTGAAAACCAAGACCCATGGTACAGTGGTAGGTAGTGTCGCTGTTCTGGTGAGGCCAAGGCTTTTCCTTCATGTCACAAGAGCACCGTAAGTTGCAAAGCCAGGATTTCTCAGCTCCTAGGCCAGAGTTAGTATGAAAATAATGTAAAAAAACAAAACAAACAAAAAAAAAACTCTGCATGTGAAGGCCCAGTTTTATTGCATTTTAGTTCAACGACCTTGGATAATTCATAATCCTCTTTGAGCTTTGGTCTTCTCAACTAAAAAAAATGAATAAGAAGAATATGGTTGTTTTAAAAACAGAGCAAGATAAAAACACGTCTAAGCACAGTTCCTCTTTGACAGCAGAAAGCAGTGTTATTTACTGTCTCACATCCTCGCATGCAAGCTGCCAGTCTATGTCTCAACTACCTAGTAAGGATGATTCAACAGGAGGTAGCTAGTCAACAGATTTGATTTGCCATAGAAGCAAATTCATGTTTCCTTGGTCATTTTTCCCAACCTCGCCATTCTTGCCGCTGGGCACACTGCCTTTCCAGGCCGCCTGGTCAGCTTTTAAAGGTCAAGTCGAAGAGGAAGAACCCTCCTCTACTCTTGAAATGTGGAAGGTAGAACTGGAGCAACCTTGATGTTATATAACACTTTATTTCCATATTTTTTCATCTGAGCCTTTTGCATAATCTCAATGTGCTTGTCTAGATAACCTGTTTCACAGTCTTTAAGGAAGTGACATGGGAGTTAAGACTTGGTTCTGGCTGTGATTTTGTGACTGATTCCCACCGTGGTCCTCAATTTCTTCACCTGTAGAATGGGAGCATTTATCCTGGCTCCTACTGTCCCCCAGGAATTGACCTGTTGCTGTGGTGCCTTCAAGCTTTGCTGTCTCTGAGAATAGATGGATCCTGTAGAGCAAACCCCTTCTGTCAGCAGGCTGCTGGCGAGCTCAGACCCCCGAGCAGGTGCCTCACAGGTTTTCAAAGGCACACCCCTTATCTAGTGGGGAGAAAAGCAAGCCCAGTCCCCAGCAGTGAGCAGAGCGGGCTGAGCTGTGTATCCAGTGGCGGGAAAGCTGACATTGATTCTTTCAGCAGGCATCAACCTGACCTCCCATACTCCCTCTCGCTGTTCTTGGTTCATTGTTCTTGGCCTTGAGTTATGGTCAGCTGTGTCTCTGGACCAGTGCAGGGCATGAGGGTCATATTTCTCTTTACCCTCAAAACCTCTGTCCCCTCCACATGGAGTTGTACTAAGGGAATAAGTCTATGACCCATAAATCACCTGCAGGGTTTGGGGTTCGGAATGGCAGACTGTCCCTGTGTGGGCAGGTGACAGGAGAGTTCTGAAGCCTTCACAGCTTCCCTACACCTGTTCCCTGCGTTCCCACTTGGACCTTGTCCCCGGCTTCTGTCCCACCCCTCTGCTCTGCCCGCCACAATCAGCCAGGTTAGTCTCTCCTCCCTGAGACTTACAGCATCTACAAGCAAAGCTGCTGTACCAACCCAAGGTGGCTGATTCTCACTGCCCCCAATGGAGACTCGGCTTGGATTTCAAAAACAAAAACAAAACAAGCAAACCTCATACGCTCCTCTCTCAGTCCCTGCCCAGTCCCCAAATTCAGTGGGTTCGAGGTCAAGGAAGAACTTCAGCAACAGAGCCTGTGCACAGCCACCCACCGCCAACACCCGCCCCCCACGATCACTGATACTGACGCCCTACTCTGCACAGGCAAGCACCCTCCTCAAGAGCCTGTGGGTGCTGCTCCCAGAAGCAGGAGCTCCTGGGGACCCACAGGAAGGTGAGACAGGAGGCTCGCAGGCGCCCAACAGCAGCCACTTGCTCAATCTCTCCTCCAGGGCATTCCTTTGTAAGTGATTATTTGCAAACTGCTCACTCAGTGTGTAGTCCCAACCCCTGACCCAGTTCTCCATCCCAACCCCGGGCCTCCCCTCCTTTCTTACCTAACATGTCCTTTTTAGTTTTTTTTTTTTCAATTGACACCTTATTATTGTTATTATTTTAATCACAAAGTCCATCTAGGACTATTGCCTTGGGTAAGCTGGTTGTAACTGAGAAGCCAGGTTGGTGGGGCGCTGGTTCCCCCCACAAAGTGACATGTCTCCATCCGTGTAGGACTCCTGCACAGAGATACCAGGCTTATCCGGAAAGCGAGGCCTGCCCACAGCTCAGAAAGACTGAAACGCACAGCAACAAGGAGGAACGAGGGGAGAGCTCAGCCGGGGCCTGCAGACAGCTCCTGGTGGGACTCAGCCAGGCGCGCCAGCAACCAGCATGTAGCCTCCCACGTGGCGCTGGCCCATGGGTGCTCAGCGAATGTCACCTCCCTTCCCACTGCTGTGGCCAAAATGTCCCATTAGTCCCAGGTGGAACTCAGGCAGTGGGAAGGGATACACACTCAGCTCGGTCCTCGCCGGGGCCATTCCTCAGCCGAATGAACTCAGTTCTGAACGAACGTGCTGTCCAGCTAATGATACTCTGACAGGTGTGTTCTCACCTGCCTGTCTTCGATCACACAGAAAGCTAACACAGTCTCCTGTGAAAAATTCTCGCCTTTCCCAGCCTCAGCTTTCATTCAAACTTTTTCCAAACCAAGTTCTCTCACGCAGACACCAGTATCCCATTTCTTGCTTTTTATTCCAGTGCCGTTCCAGCCCACGAGAGGCTCTTCCATCCTAGCTGTGGTTTCAGGAAAATGGGATCAAGCTCATAGTTAGACCACTTCTGCTTTCCTCGGAGATCGTAAGTTCCTCCAGGTTTCCCCAGATTAAATTCTGTCTGCTTCTTCCCAACTGTCACTTGTGGGAAGTCCGCAGCTAATTCCGTCTTGTAGGGCTGCTGTCCACAGCTGTGGTAAGATTCCTGGCCCCTACCTGGACACCTGCGTTTCCTCAGCTCCTGCGCTAACCACCCTCGGGGAGCAGGAGCAGGAGCGAGTCAGGGCCTCACATTCCCCCCAGGCTGAGCCCCTCTCTCGCCTCCCCCTCACTTAAAGTCGCCCCCACATGTGACCTCACATCTCTTGAGGCTTCCTGTGTTGGGTTGGCTGGCAGGGGCAGCGCACAAGAAACAAACCTCTTCCCAACACTTGAAAGCAAAAGAAAAGAATAAAAAAAAAAAAAAGAAAGAAATTGTAAAAGACCCAATAAAGGGTCTCTTGCTTCAGGAGAGAGGTTTTTGTTTCCAGTCTAGCAACAAGGCTCTTTGAGGTGGCTCCGGCCTGTGGGCATGGGGGGGTGGGGAGGGGGGGATGCCTAGTTGGAAGGAATGCCCAACGGGCTCGATTCTGGGTGCCTGCTTACCACAGGGAATCTTGTCTATAAAGTAAGTGTTCAAAATTCTCTGAACAGATGCCACCACCCCCACCCCCACCAACATGTAAAACCATCTCCCTGCTAAGCTCTTCTTGAACGGAAGTCTACCTCCTTCAAGAAGCAATTAAGCAGTGAATGTTTACTAGCGCTGATACAGTCATTCATTTGGGATGTGCTAGATTTAAGATGTGAATTACATTTTTATGAGCCAAAGGCACACTTCAGTACCCATCGGGTATGAAGAGCAGTAAATGTGGCCCTACTCAGCAGTGCTTTTATAAGGCGCACTCTATGTAAGCTGTGAAGGGCATGTTCACTCGTAAATGTCACGCACTCTGCCATCACCAGCGTGTGACCTCAGGCGTCACTTGTTACAGGCCAAGGACGAGGGGTTCGGAGAAGACAGGACCGGGAAGAACGTTAGGGGAGGGGCCAGAGAAGCTGCAGCCAACTGACTCCAGAAACGGGGGGCCCTCCGCCTCTGAGCCTTGGTTTCCCCATCTGGAGAATGGAGCCATTGGCCAGCAAACTGGTCCGGCTCCCAGAGGCTCAGAGTAAGTCTTT